GTATATGGTTAGCCAATGTAGTATTAAGTTTATGTGAACGAAAGATTGAGAAATTTATAAATTTTTCTATAGAACCTTCTAAAAAATTTTATTTTGTAAAATTCTTATTCTTAAAACCTATGTTTGAAATAGTTTTAGCATTAATAGCACTTTATTATTGCTTAGCGAAGAGATTATATTTAATTAAGATATTCGATGATAATGATGGGAAAACTTGTGATGATGTTATTGTTAAGGATAAATATCTGAAAAAGGATAAGGATAAATATCTGAAAAAGGATCAGGATCAAGATAAAGATGTTGTTTATATAGAATATGAATATGATTGGGTAACTTTTTTTGAAAACAGTGAAAATAGACGGCTATACAAAGTAAGATTTTTTGGAAATAAGGAAGAAAGAACTCCTTTTAAAGACTTTAAAGTTAGTAGGTTGTTGAAATTGGCGAAGGTTCTCGTAGAAGATTATAGAAGACGACTTTTTGGAAGACAACTAAGATGTAGCCACATAATAATTATAGCTTTTATTGTAATTTTTATACTATTGGTTTATTTTCTTCTTGCAATTGGATTCATTTTCGTTTATATAATCGCTAAATTTCTTCCTTATGAACAAGCTGATAAATCTCTTCCTAATGAAAAGGCTGATAATAACACGGAAGTTTCTAGTTATAAGTGCAAAATATCAAAATCTTCACTCGAAGAGAATATAGGCATAACACTTGACGATGCCTCCGACCCGCTTATTATTAGAAAATATATTATCTATACAACTATATCATTGTTAAGGATGAAAACTAAGTATCAATTCAAAATTGAATCTATAGTAATAACTGAAAAGCAAAGAAATGAACTTAGGCATCTTTTATGTGGAATAGTTAATGAAAAACATTAATTTACTGGTTCTTTTCATTATTGTATTTGTTAGTTTTCTGTTTTTATGATTATATTCAAATAAATATATTGTTATAAAATTAGGCGCTTGTTCCGCATTCCTGAATAAAAAATCCCAGCCCCGAAGAGGCTAGTTATAAAAAAAAAATAAATAAATAACAAAAATAAAATTAGGCGTTTGAGTTCCTTAAAGGGAGTTAGCAATGAGTACGATGGATTGTATCATGCTGATACATCACGTAACTGAAATCCATGATCGGGGTGCAGAAGTTTCGTACTGTATTTTGTTATTGAATGTACTGTACTATACATAAATATAGGTGTACTATAATGTGTATCCATACAGTATACCTTTTCATGATATAAAATGTAAATGCGTACTGTACTGTATTGAATAAAAAGTATAAATGATAGTACAATACAGTACAGTGTATTGGACTTTGTTTAAATATGCCCTAACAATCTACAACTCAAAGCTGACTTAAATATAACATGAATATTAATTTATTACGCAGATAATAAATTAAAAAAAAAGGGAATTTACATATAAGGGTCAAAAATGAAAATAATTACAAATACGGGCCCAAAATAAAAATAATTACAGATAAAGGCCCAATTTTTGAAAAATATTCAAATAAGGGCCCAAGTCTACTATTTGTTATAAAAAATGTGTCACATTGACACTACTATAATTTTTGCTAAATTAAAATGCAAAATTGATTAAAAGAGATGGAATAAGAAAAATGTTTTCATTTACTATAAGATGTTTTAAACTTATATCAATTTTATTATAAATTAAATACTACTATTAAGACTATATGAATACTAATTTTTGCTTATTTAAAGTGTTATTTTATTGTATGAATAATCAAAAGCTAATTTTATTTTGCTAATATCTCTGGCCACAAGTGTGTAAATTATGACCTTTTTTATTATATTTTTCACAAGTAACTTGGTTCTCTGATGCTGTTTCTTTATGACTATATAAATAAGTTTTTTTTGTAAATATTTTGCTTGTTTAATTGCAGCAAGTAGTAAAATTTTATTATCAAAAAAACACATTTTTATATTAATGGGATAAACTGATTCCTTGTAAATATTCTTAATAATGGTAGTGTGATATATAAAATATGAGCACTTTTCAATAGAAAAAAAGAAAAAGTTTTTAGTAATTTTTTTTAAATTTTAAATTAAAATATTCCAATAACTACTAAATGAAATGTAATAATTTTTTTTAGTTTTATAATTTTATAGAATTAAAATAAAAAAATTTTATAAATTTAGTTTAATAGTTGTTAAGATATTTTAATTTGAAGTTTTAAAAACTTTTACTTAGAAGAAATCTCTCTCCTTTCTATTGAAAAACCTTCATATATAAATTGTAAGAGTTGTTGATATATTTTAAAAATAGTAATATAGATATATATATAAAGAAACTAATACAGACCTGTGGATCAATAACACTGTAGTTAGCACTTCTGAATCACAATCACAAGGTTGCAAGTTTAAGTTCAACTGGGTGATAAATGGCTCTGCCAAAACTATAATTAGATAAAATTTTTGGAGGATTTTCTATTAAAAAAAAAGAACAAGATTTGTACAAATTACAGTCTATCAGTATAACTACAGGGCTATAAACAACCAGATAAGGTATAATTCATTAACAAATAGTACTAATATTGAGAAAA